GCTTTATCTATTAAGTTTGATAATAGTAACAATTTAAGAACTACAATTTAGGATTCTCTGTATGTCAGCTGGCTATAAAATTGGCTTTCCAACAGGTTCTTAGAAAAGGTATATTAAATTGAAAAGTACATATTGTTAAATTTTAAATAATAGTGCTACTTCTTAAGGCAGCAAATATTGCATTGTTAAATACTTCAGGTATATTAAAATACTGGTCATCTGAAATTTCCATCCCCTGCAAAAAATATAATGGTCCATAGGGTCCATTTTTGATCAAGTTGGCAATAGTAACATAATCCTGATGATTGTTCAGTAATTTGTAGTTGGATTGGCCTTGTAAGTCAAGCCAATACCCTTTTATCTTGTAAGTAAATGAAGCTTTGACTAGTTTTGATGGATTCTGGATAGTGTAGAAAAGCCAGAATTTCTCATCTTCTGACTCAGTAAACACTGGGACAATAAGCCCTTGTGCTTCTGTGGAGTGTTGAATATTAGCACCAACAGCAAGCCATGCATCATCTTCAAAATAAAAACTATATTCATTTAATCTTAGTCTCTCTTCCTGGTCAAGTCTCAACTCCACAACCTCCACATCTTGTTCTTTAATCTTGTCAGACAGTCTAACTACCCTTTCTGCACATTGTCTGTCCACTATCCTGGACAGAAGAGTGACTACTGTTTCAGGCTGAGTTGGAGAGGGAATAAAATCCCTGTTGCTTTGCAAGTTTACATTTGCATTACTGGTAATCACGAATTTAACTTCGCTTTTTTCCTCCATTATTGCCTGGAGTTGTTTAGTGCCATAATGGAAGGGTTTCTTAAAGAAAATGCCATCTGGGAGATTTTCTACTGTAAAACCCCCACGTAGATACGGCACCCTGCTGCCTGGTTTCTTTATTGCTTCACCTATTGTGCAAGAGAAAGAGAAACATTGATTGGTAATGATAATAGCACTGAGTGGAGTACAATTCAGGAAGTAATTGGGCAAGTAATGAGCCTGATAACTCCTGAAATGTATGACAGTAAGTCTTATGGACCATTTCCACATGTCCCATATGACACTTTCTTTGCCAAAAAGTGAGACACAAGGTAAGAATAAGTAATTCAATTTCATTAGCTAGTGGCATTTTCTACTGGATTTTTATTGGCTGCATAATTGTCAGATTTGACCTGTCCAGTTAAAAGCAGCTGTAATCACACAGGCCAAATTGGACAGTTTTCTTATTACAGTATTCAGATTAAGGATCACATATTCGCTGTTCAGAACCAATCAGGTTTGAGGATTTTGTTATAGACATCATCAGCTTTGTTGTTATTATCATAGCTAATAATAATAATGATGATGATGATGATGATGACGATGATGATGACAACAATTACATGTTAACATCTGTACTATAGTGAATAATATGTATATTCTTAAACTTACTGTATTTGGAATTGAATAGCTGTTGTACATCTTTGTATGTGTACCTCTCATTGGTGCAAGCTAAATAAATAAATACAGAGGTACTATGTAGTTTCAGGTCTATTTTGATGATGTATTCACCTTATTTACAATCATGAATAATCTCGTCAATTGGATGACACACTTTATAGTATAAGCTATATAAACATCTGCTAATACAGTTGCATGCCAACAAATCAATAGAACACTTTCAATGTTTATAATATTACTAATTCAAAGTAATAATATATACCAAAGTGGTCTCGGAATTTGATGTTGATGTCAGGATTCAGGCATAAGAAAGAGAAACCTGCACTTGATCCAAAGTTGTACACTTGGCCTGAAGTGTCTTGAAAAATCAGAGAAGATTCACAGCCTAAGTCTTCTAGAAACATGATCTGAAGCAGATGAAAAAGTAAAATGTGGCACGAGGATTACTCAAAAGGACACAAACATCTGCATGTTGCATTAATTCCCACAGAGTACGATAATTAGAAATTACTCATCCACTTTTAATAAAGTTTTAAGTTATTCTGAATTTGCATGGTTTATGCTACCTAATTGGAATTGAGCTTGGCTGGAGATTATTTCATAAAGTGATTGAAACCTTTACCTCATTTAGAAGATTTTTTCTGTGAACTGACATCAATTTAGATTTTTGAGCCTCACTTAGCTCTGAAACATCAGGGGCCTTTAAACTTTCTGCTTTTCCTTTGAACGCATCTTTTTCTGCAGATGTCATGTCACGCCATTTCTTGGCAGCTTCTTTGTTCTTTTGAGCCAAGGACAATTTCTTGCACTCATCTAGCAAAAAAAAATTAAAGCTTTCATTTCCACTGAATATCAATTCAATTGGTTTGATTATTACAATGTCACTGCATGATTTTCAGTTTCCTCGGCAATCAAAGATATTGCATCAACTAAAAATGAAAATAAATTAATCAACAACTCTATTATGGTGTCAAAGGTTAAAAGTAGCTGAGGATGAAAACCCTTTTGGGTTGCAATATAGAGCTCTGTCAGACCCCTACCCCTGCAAGTACCCCCCCTGGGGTTTAGACACAGTTTAACAAGACCACTGTCCATTATTGATTTAAATCTGGTATCCTGGCACCAAAATAAAATAAATGTTCAGCAGGCACAGTTAGCAGAGAAAACCACAATATTCATTTCTTAGAAATAATAGACTAGTAGAGGTTTATTAACGATACCCATAGGCGTATGGGCACCTTTGGACTTTGAAAAATTTTTAAACTAGGGGGGGGGGGGATTTGCACACCCATGCCCCAGGAATGTACACCTCTAATGTTATCCTATATTTTAGCCATGGTCTATAATAGTTATAATGCATGTAAATAATCTGTCCTTAGTGTTTGGAAACATTATCAGGGTTCTCACCTGACTTGAAATACTCTGAACAGAACATGTTGTAGGAGTGTGAGCCACGTGAACCAGTTGGGATCTTAATTGGCTTTGGAGCTGCTTGTACTCCAGAATTTATCTTTTCCTTTTGTCTGGCATTTCCAATCCATTTCTACATAAATGTACCACATTAAAATAAAGTATTTCAAAATGCCTTAAGCTACAATAGAAACCCTTCCCTTTTTGCTCTCTTTCACTGGCTGGCCCTATAGAGGCCCAGCCAGGGTAAATTCCTACAGGGGACATGGTCCAAAAAGTAGCTGTGGCATATATATGAAAGTATGAAAAAATTAAGATCTTGTTCACCAAAATTCCGACAACAACAACAAGGTGGAGAAATAAAGACAAAATAATGACACCGTAGGTTTTTAATTCAGGCAAGCAACACAGGGAACCCCCTGGCTGGGCCTGACCCTATAATACCCATGCAAGCTGCTCACAGAAACTCTGAGCTTGTATACAGAGCAAATTTTCAATCCAGTACAGAATGATTGGCTGGCAACAAATCAATAAAGGTAGATCTTCTTGGTATGTACATGTATGTCGAATGGATGATGTGATTATAACATTTAACAGCTCTAGATTGAGGATACCTAAACTTCGAACCAGGATTCGATCGTTAGCTATGGGTTACCTATTATTAACACTTTGGTTAGCCTACTTTTCAGCCCCAATTAGCCAAACTTGTACTCTGGTTAGCCTCAGAGTACTCAGGTTGGCCTAACTAGCTCTTCTGTTGGCCTACAGAGCACTCGGGTTAGCCCACTTTTAACTAAGGTTGCTTGCGGTTAGCTCTCAATATTTGTAATGGTAACACAATATATATTCTTAATTTTATAACAACGGATGAGTAAACACATATCTTCTTTTACTGGCATATTCTTGATCATTGATTATGCTGCACACTGCAAGCGTATTTTCGAGCATAAAACTGCATAAAGCAATTATTTTCAAAAAAAAAAGTAAGCCTACTTTAATTAACGAGGGAAATAATTACCACAAGGCCTCATTATGAATAGTACAATCGTACAGTTAACTTCCTTGACCTCGGTATATGACGGATGAAATTCTGTTTAAGAATCAATCCTTTAAAAAGATTCGTTTATGCAGCACACAGAGTAAGGGAATTAATTCTATAGGACAATATACCGCTACATCATTTACATATGTCGGTGTGCTTTGAAGAAAGAAGCACTCACCATAATGATCGCTATTATTATTCAACGAGATGCAAATAAGTGGCGGGGTATTCCACATACATGAAACATGGTAGTGTTTCAGTCCAACTAAAAAATATCTTACCTTTACTTGATCAATAGTCAGCCCAGTTTCCTCGGCTGCCACTCCAATTTTTTCCGTATTATCAGAACCGCATGTTTTCATGCCGCCGTCATAATATTCTTGTAGTTTTGACCTTTGTACATCGCTTATTTTATTATATGTTCTTTTGCGAACTCTACTTGTATCCTTGTCGGTCATAGTAACGAAGAAGCGCCAAAAGTGCACGACAAAGCCGATAATACCTGAACTTCCAAACCAAGAAAAGCTAGCGAGTTCGTAACTATTCCAATCGGTAAAGGTTTCCCCCCTACGCATCCGAAGTGAACGGAGTTGATTGGTCGAAATGTTTATGCATATTTAATGAGCTACTGGGAAGACTTAGATGATCATTTGAGATGGCTTGAACCCAATGATCTAAATTTAGATTATATGGGTGTTACCCATTTAGATTGTGTAAGTAGGGTGGGTAAGTAGATCTTTATCTGTAGATTCCTAATTATTCCGAAGCAAAATTTTTGTTTTCTCTCGTGAAGTATCTCGTTAGTACTTTCAAATGAAAGCAAGCCCTAATTACTGCCATATGTAAACATTCTCCCACTGTCTCCTTTTACAAGATTCCTGTACATCTTAAAACTGTGTATTTCCGTCCTGTAGCGATTTAGAGTGCCGAAGAAGTGAGCTGGTTAGGGATGAAAAAACGCAACCAGAAAATTGTCCTCCTGGGTATGTTAAATAATCGTCTTCTCTTGATTCGTTGTATCAGTTAACATGAAATTATTCCCACACTTTACACTTTTGAAAGTATTTTTCAACTTCACCATTAAGTATTCATTGTAGAGCCGCCTTTTTGTCATGGTCACGGACAAAAAAAAATTTTTGTATTTAGTGATCATGAGTTTTTACCGACGTATTAAGCAATTGCTAAAAAAATGCTTCAGATTATCCTTCTCTTTAAGAAAAATACCATCAACAACGTTTCAAAATTTGGATTTTATTCACTTTATTACAGCTTTTTCGGTCTCCGCACGATTTCAGGGTATCTATTAACTATTTATTTTTCCTCCTGCAGATATTGGTGTCGTAGAAGTGAGTTGGTTAGGGATGATGAAACTGATGAAGAAAATTGTCCACCCGGGTATGTAAATATTTATCTGCCATCGATTCCTAATATGAATTAACGTAGAATTGTTCCCAGTCGAAAGCTTAGGTATTTCACGTGAACTACCTCTTTGGTGGTTTGAACTGAAATGAGATTCTGATCTCCGTATAATTCCTATGTAAATAACTGTAAATTCTCTCCGATGCTATTTCAAAAAAGATCTCAGTCTCTCGAACGTGATCAATGTAAAACAGCACCATACCCACGACCAACCAAGCAAAGGGAGAGCTTGTAAAGCAGTTGGTGGTAAGAAAGGCGAGAGCCTGTAAACCAGTTAGTGGTGCAATGCCTCTAAATACGACCCTCACACTTGGGCAAACTGCTATCTACAAACTTTCCTTTCTTTGGTATCAAGTATTCATTATAGTGCATCCTTTTGCTCTTCATTAACAAAGAGGCTGTGGTGTGCTTTAACTGAGTATTTTTTTCCGACAGGTACTGGTGCCGTTGAGTCAAAGATTCACAGTGTCAACCGAGGTACGTATATATTTAATCATCCCATCTCGATTGAGTAATAAAACGTTTCCACTGAAGCGCATCGCGCTCGCATCGCTCAACAAGAGAGTAAAATTACACAAAGAACCTCATCTCCATGGTTCACCTTTGCATATCTTTTATCGTCTCCCTTCCCCCATCAAAAGCCTCCAAAAAAAAGTACATCATTGTAAGACAATTATTTTATTCTTTATGTAGCACAAGTTGCTGATCCATTGTGTACAGAAATTTACGCCATTATCGCAGTCTGGGGATGCTACTGCTGAAACAATACTCGCCAGAGAATCAAGGGAACGGAGCAGTTATCATTAAAATGTTTAGGTTTTAAAAGTTTGTTGTTCAACTAGTAATTGGAAATAAATCTTCATCAAAAGCCTTGTTCCACTCCGTAATTTCCCCGCATCTGATTTTGAGGGTAACGGCTGATCCTTATACACGAGTGAGGCTCATTTTGTAACCGGATACTAACTTTTTGTCACGGTTTGGCCTCCAAAATTCAGGGTGCGACAGTACAGGGCCGGGAGCTCGAGCCTAGCTGTTTTGTTATTCTCAGCGGTCTCACTTGAGCATATACTGTATGTGGGGGATGCAATTTACATTCACTTTTAATCTCCTTCCCACACGTCAGCGGAACCTGAACTCTAACTGAAGCACACGGAGCCAGGAGATATTACTGTCAACCATGATTTAGTTAACCAAATAACAGTTTGCATTACCATAAATTGTTCTGCACAGAGGGTGCCGCTCTCAAAGATTACGTTCAGGACAAATTCTACGGAAATTGATGAGTATTCAATGTAATTTTTTTGAAAACTACAATGGAGAGAAATTAAGCGTTAGCTGAAAAAGCCATCACCCCATTCAGACCTTCTCCTGTTTTCAACTCGTACGCAATGATGCTGATTTCTGCATCTGAGCTTTCCTCTTTCCTGCCGTAAAGCTCAATCTAACTTTAAGCTGTGACTTCATCATCAGAAAGCTTTTCTGGACTGCAGTAATACTCCTTTGACTCATCAAGTGATTCAAAATCCAAATAAGGCGTGTCCTCTTGCATCATTTCCTCTAATAATCTCGTGGTGTTTTCAAAAGTCGGTCTCTCATCGGGCTCTTCTTTCCAACACTCTGACATCAGTTGATATCTGAGAAAGGAATCGAACAAATAAGCGGGTCGGCCTTTGTAATATAAAAGCGTGGATCCCTGTTTTATTGTAAACACTTTTGGTATTTCGCCTCTCTCAAAGATTTTTCTTAGGGACTTTCAATGTATTTCATCCAGTGTTATCTTATATCAATGAAGTTACATTCAAGAACGCTCAGGACAAAGATATCAAGCTTTTTAGTGAGAAAAAAAACCACACGACCAGTTTACAACCACAAGGTATCAACTGCAAAAAAAAAAAAAATATTCGACGTTCAATTCAGTAAAAAAGAGTGCTGTTTGCCACTTACAATGTATCAGAAGAGGTGTCTGGTTTTTCCATTCGATATCCAGTCTTAAGAAGATTGTACAACTCTTTGTTATTGACTCCTGGGTAAGGGTTTCCTCCTACAACAAAAAAAGGCTTTGTTATTTACAAAATAATGTATTGTCGTCAAAAGGGAGAATTGCTCATCAGATCTTGGGAGTTAAAAGGTTAAAGATAGAAAAACCTAAACAGCAAAGTAATTAGAATTTAAAAGTTCTCTGTATCACACTCTTTAGACGTTTTCTTACCCATTGTGGAAAGTTCCCAGAGGAAAATTCCAAAAGACCATCTGAAAAATTAAATGTTATTCAAAAAACTTAACATGATAGTAAATCAAAATTAAAACTTAAAAAATTAAAAATCTTTCCTATTGCTCCAGGCTCCGCTTATTTTCCATAGGACTTCAATCTTGACAACAGCGCCAGTACAGACCTACTTGATATAAAAATGGTAACAGGTCGATGGTAGCATGGTAACAATTGGGTCATGCAAACATGATATCCTGACACCATGATACAAATGGTGATATACATGTAGAGGAGTTATCGACTGAGCGTCATTAGTAATCCGTGATTGCTTCATTTCGCTTGTGATGCCTTCTGGGGGGATCAGTAAATTAACGTGACACAACCAAAATCATCCGACCCCCCTCCCCTCCTCCGGTCTCTTAGCAGTTGTTAAAACACTTACACATCACTTTTGGTTGTATATTCACTGTTGTAAAGTGCTTCTGGCGCCATCCATTTTACTGGTATCTTTTTCCCTTTCTTCAGCGTGTACACGTTTTCATGGGTTTGCCTCATAAGTCCAAAATCAGAAATTTTCACCACTTTGTTTTCATCAAGAAGAACATTACGAGCTGCCAAATCGCGATGGACAAATCCTTTACCTGATAAATACGCCTGGAATGGTAAAAGAACATAAGAAGAGAAAGATTCATGTTTTTTTTATAAATATTGAGGGAGGGAGTCAGAGGATTTTTTTAGGCCGGTGTCACTGTAAAATTTAACTGATTACCCTATAAGGCTATGTAGTATTCTTATAACCTGCCTTCACTGGCAATCAATTTCTATAGTCCCCTATTTATATTCTGTTAGGGACGACTAATCCCCTCACCGTTCCCCCCTGAAAGCTATGTGACCCCCCAAAAAAATCCTCCGCCCCCCCTCCCCCCCCCAAGATAAATAATGACAGGTCCCTGAGACTACGCGTCTACAAGTCAAGCGAACTTGCTTCATCTGGTCTGTCTTAGAATGTGCGACCATAGGATGAGGCGACATGTATCTTATATGTCTTATTAGGCATTTTGGCGCGTAGTATCGCTGAGTATTTTTACGAGTTGTGCCGTATTTTGTCAATCTCGCAGGGCGAGTCAAAACAGAAAATAACGAGTGAAAATAATCAGCAATACTATACATCAAAACGTCTAACAAGTGATTTATTATTCAACTGTTTTATTCCATACGCTTTTCTTATAAAGTGGGAAAAGCTAAGCAAGCAGAGAAGGGTGCCATGTGCAGCCGACTGGTTAAAAAGGTTTTTTTCATAGTCCGAAATAACCTATCGTAACTGTCTAAAATCACAGGATATTTTTACTCGATGGACGCGTTATTTGTGCTCTACTCGGTGCAGTTGGATAATAAGTGGGAATATTGTACCCTAATAATCGGTGTCGTAAGTATTCAAGCCATTCTTATCCAGTAGCCCGAACATCTGTGGGATAATGGACTCTATCAGCTGTGTTGCTACATTGTGCATCCTCAATCGTCCCTCCCCCCCCCCCCCCCCCTTCAACGAAAAAACATGAAGAATTATACCCTTCACAATGTTTACGAAAAACGCCGTTAACAGAGAACAACAATGTGATAACTGAAACATAACTAACCATTCCGCGCGCTACTTGCCACGCAAAGCCAAGAAGATCCTTAGCTGTGAAGTCTTCGTCCCGTTCCACATTATTATGACAATCACCTAGAGAGGCTTGAATAGGATGTTTTTTGTAATGATTCTGCACCTTTTCTGTCACGTCAGTTTTTGCTTCATCTATGGCGGGTGTCTTTTCCTTCGAGACACTTTCAATACCCGAGGCACAGACAGAAACTGAGGTTGAAACAGCCTTAGGAATACCCTTGGTGTCTGGATCCTTTCCACTTTCTTCTTCACTCCTTGATAGCAGTTCTC